CTTGACCTGTCATCTACGCTAGAGTCTTCATTGTATCGTTTGATGGTACGATAAACGAATCTTTTGGTTATATTCAAATTTTTCAGTATGTCAAAAATTTGAATTGGCGCGTAACCGCAACGATTTTTTTTTTTTTTTTTTTTTTTTTTTTTTATAGGATAAGGGTGACAAACGAGCACACAGTCCACCTGATGGTAAGTGGTTGCTGCGGCCCATAGACATCTACATCTATCCTCGTTTGCGAATCAAAATGCAGATGCGTTGTCACCCGTGAGGTCTAAGATGGAATGCCTCATTTCCAGTAAAAAGGGCCTCCGGCCACCTGCACTCACCAAACGAAACGCAGAGGTAAGCATCTACTTCACGCTGGTATTCTGTGAGGTCGTGGTACCACCCCGGTTCGAGCCGGCCCATCCGTGCGACAGCAAAAGCTGCCGCGTGGCTCTACCACGATGCAACGCAATAACTGCAACTCGGTCTTCTTTAAGCGTCCACTCCATATTTAAAAATGAGTAAAATTCTAAAAAGTATACAGTTTTATTTTCATGAACAATTTGAAATTCGAATTCAATAAACTTTTTTGTGGCCAGCATTCTAAAAGAAAAGTTTTTACTGTGTGACAATACTTATGACCTGACTAGGTATATTTTGCTTCTCTTATGGGTGGAATTTTATTTGCCTAATTTACGTAAGATCACTCTTTAAATAAATAACCCATTTTAAAAAAAATCATCAAAATCAGCTCACAATTGACGATATTGCGTCACATACATAATATGCAAACTATAAGCTTCCACCGTCTTATAAGTCCGTTAATAACATACTTATTGAGAATTTAGTAGGTTAAATATGTGTACGCAAATAATAGATTAAAAAAATGGTGTCTTAGTTAGAATATTTCTATTTCAATAAAATAAGTTAAATAAGTTCATAGTTTCATGACCATTAAGTGACTTCAAGAAAGGAAGAATTATTTTTTCTAAGTAACATGATCTCCACAAGGCTTATTTATATATTATGCTTTTACAGTAAAAACTGTGATTCTCCTCAGATAAGGCATCAATATTTTTATTTCAATAACCGAACATACCTATTTATATCATCCTAAACGACTTTTTTATAAAATTTAAGTGACTACTAACTATTAATTGAAGTTCACCTTATGGTAAGCGACTACTGCAGCTCATAGACATCTGCAACCAAACCTAATTCAAATAAAGGCGACAAATGCTTTGTCACATCTGAGAAAGGAAATGGAATGCTTCACATCCTCTCAATACGCTGCCACTCTATAAGGACTTTGAGACTGGAACTTAACAATCCGTGCACTGCTATTTGGCGGCAGAAATAGTTGAATAGATAGTACCTACCCAGAAGGATTCCTTTTTTATATGGGGGGATCATGTCGGACATAAACGGAAGCCATGGGGCCAGGAAGAGCGAAACCGAAACGAAAACCATTAATGCCACACCCCGACAGGGTCACACAGGTAGGGCGAGTGGCGCGTTACTATTTCAACACTCCTCTTCCCTTGAAACTCCACCTCGCTGCAGCGATAGAGGAAGAGGCTCGCCAAGCCTACTCGGAGTGGTCAACTCGGGCCGGACCATTACCTGGACCAGCCATGAAAGCTCTTCTTAGTTCAACGTGGGTAACTTAGCGATGGCTACTAAGCCCCAACTCCACGATAAGGCGGGAGCCCGTTCGAGAGCCCCTTTAATCCTTCTAGCTTCACAGCACTACAAGAAGAGAAAATGTTGAATTTCGAAAGTTATATTTTTAAAACATGAGAAACGCCTAAATTTAAATAATTTTTAGAGGGAAGTTGCGCGTCAATTACTTTTATCACAAGTTGAAGTAGCAAACCGTAGCAAAAATGAAATTAACGCAAAAATATTTTAGGGCGATGATTTTTAAGGAAAGCTTACTCTTTCCGCATGATTGGACTGCTCGTCTTAAAATGCTCTTGCTTTTGCTTTTTGCTTTTAAGATTTTTTTTTCATTTGGGCACCGTAAAGTACTGTTATACGGAGACGGGCTGATTGGTTTTTAAAAAAAAATTATTTAAAACACCGATATTTAGTTAAAGTATAACTGGATTACATATTACAAACTGGTTAGGATTTAACTTAGGTCCGTAGACAACCGAGCAGGTTCGAAGATGGAAGCAGACTGACTTGGCCGAACTGCTCCACTGCGATACTCACTGAACCTTAAGGCTAAGTCAACATTATTAAGAGGCAGTGCAGCACTAAGGCTAACAAGTATAGGGTAAAACATCTCCCCCCTTAAGAAGAGATTTTAGGGATGATATCGTAAAATCTCTCGATACTAGTTAACTAATAATATCTTAAAACTTGGGTTCTAAGCGGTGCAACATTATCAGATTCAGAATCACTATTTTGTTCAATCTCAGGTGGTATAAATTTTAAATGCGGTTGAGGTGAAGTTTTTATGAATTTCACTTTAAGATTGTTACTAGTATTATTCATTGTAAGGCGGATGTTATGGGATCGGCGGGAAAGCTTAAAACCCAAATATACAAAATTCAACAGGAATAAGATAGAAATAATAATAATAATGATAGAATAATGTGTCCCATATTTAATAATGTGAGGTTTATTTCCTATTAGTATTTAGGTTACTTAATAAAGAATCAATAATTATTTTATTTTTTGAATTAAATTCATCTAAATCTACATTTTGTGACTAAATAGGAGACACATCTTCTACAACATGGTTGAACATATTTATATTACAACAAGTGTCATTGATGAGGTTATAATCGGGCATATAATTTATGGTTGATGTAATATTTAGAACATTATATATAGGTAACAATGTAGTGCTTTTACAAAATCCAGTACAACCATCAGGAATTGTAATTATGCCTGTGCCCAGAATATTTGTTTCAAATACTTGAGACTTAATATAATCTATAGAAATTTTATTTAGGTCGGATCGAATATAAGTCCATTTATTATTCATTAATGGTTTCCAGATATCTAATTTTCCAAAGATAAATTTGGTTTCGCACTGTAAAGGAATTTCACTGATCACTTTAGATATAAGCTTACTTTCACAGGATGGTTTAGCGTCCACCGAATATACGTTATTTACGTCACAGATGAATGTTCCTGGTTGCACAATTTTGCACTTCCCTAAGTCGTCAATATTGCAGTAATGTGTTTTGTCTTTGGTCATTGCAATATATTTATTATTAGGTACAATTAAACTAAATGAATTTGGTTCCTTTGCGTTATATGGTGTAGGTAAAGCTATGTTATGAAACAACATATAACTTTCTACATTTACCAATGGCACTTGAAACAAAATATGATTTTATTATTTATATAATAGCAAGTAATCTTACAAAGTCTTAAAATTAAATGTATATTCTTAATATCTAAAGAAACAGGCAATACTAAATTATTAGGTAGGTATCTATAGTTATCGGCAAGTTCTCGGTATAATTGTTGTGGCGTTATAACGGCTGAATGTAAAATAACCTTACTGCTAAACAAAATAGCATTTATGTTATCTTCCAATTGGAAAGATAATGTAAGAATTGAAGTTTCTAAACTGTCAAAAATTTCATTAATATTAGCAGATATTTGTAGACCATTAGTTATTTCAGAAATATTTTTAATTTCTAATAGAGAGATTGTCGATAGCTACAGTTAATTTTACTTCGTTGTGTTTTATTTTATTTAAAGTATCGTTGTAATACGTTATTACAGAGGTAGTAACCAAAATATTTTCTTTCATTAAAGAAGCCAGTTGTTTTTCATCGTTTTGTACATATTCTATTGCTTCTTCATACTTTAGAGCGTCATCTTCATCTAAAGTACCAAAAATATATTTTAACATTGTACCAATACCTGCAAACCAAGCGCTACGCTTGGCTCTGTTATCTAATAAGTGTGAGATGGATTCAAAATCCTTATTCAAGTCCTGGTTACGTACCGCTAGTGGTTAAAGCATATTGTGACATTCGGCAATAATCTCTAGTCCTAGTTTGGTCACATAAAATTTTAAGTGAATCTAACGTGTTTCTTATATTTCTTATGTGGAGGTCAAAGTGTATAATATCTATCGGAATTAACGTTTTCAGGTTGACGTTATTAATTTTTAATGTACCTAAATAATCAAAGTAGATGCCTGAGAAGAAGAAGTAGAGTAGAGAAGAGAGTAGAAGTCAGAGTTCTGTAAATAATTACTGTAATTAATACTAAACAGAGGTTAGTATTGACTAACCTATAAATATATATATTTTAATGACTATTTTTTTTTTAAAAGGTAAGTATTGATTAGCCTATTTTTTATAACTATGTTTTTTTTTCAGATGGCGAAACTACACTTATAGGTAAGTGTTATTAACTTTCCAGACATTGGTCCTTTACTAAGTTTTATTTATTTTACAGGTTACTTCCGATATCTGATGCAGGTTTCACCTCATCAAAGTGATGCGTTACATGGCGTCGATTGATTAGTAGGGTAAGTGTATTATTACTACGTACTTTAACTATTTTATAGGAGCATTTCCAGAGAGGGGAGAGTGCCTTCCGCAATCTCAAATGGTTCTTTATATAGACATACTCACCGACTTTAAATTTAACTGGTCGAGTATGGGTGTCATAGTATGATTTTGAGGATTCCTTTGACTTCCTTATAAAATCTAAAGCCTTCTCTCTGGAGTGTTTCAACCGGTTTTGCAACATGCGGATATAATCGGGGTAAGTAGCCCCTAGAGATTCGTTATAAATGGAATTAGGAATGTTTGGTTTACTCGCAAATATAAGCTCGTGAGGTGTGTAATGTGTAGTGGAATGAACGGATGTGTTATAAGCAAGCATGGCGATCAATGAAGAACAGTCAAATTTTCAGTCAGTTATTACACATAACGAGGCCAATTTGACTGTTCTTCATTAAAATAAGATTTCAGGTATTCTTTTAGGGTTGAAGGTCTCCGCTCTAGGGAGCCTTGGGTGTGAGGGTGTTATGGTAAATACCATAAATTTTTTATTTTAAGGAATTCACATGTTTTTCTAAATAGGTCTGAAATAAAATTAGTCCCTTGGTCGGTAAAGATCATCTTAGGAGTGCCAAAGATTGATATATAATGCAGTAAACATTCGCTAGTTTCTTCAGCAGTGGTACTCCGGATGGGATATGCACAGGAAAACTTAGTGAGATCGTCTTGTATTGTGAGAATAAAACGTAATTTTTCTGGTCCGGCTTCGGGAAGTGGGCCGACGATGTCCAAGGATATTCTTTGGCATGATTCTGTAGATGTACTGGTGATCTGCATTGAAGAACGGTTGATTTTCCCAAGCGCTTTATTTTCCTTACATGATTTACATTGCTTTTCATGTGACTCTATATCGCTTCGCATACCTTTCTAATAATACGATTGTTTTATCCTGTTGTACATTCTTACAGAGCCTAAATGACTGGCTATCGGAATGTCATGGTTTTTGAAAAGAAGTTTCTTAATTTCTGTTGGAGCTGGGTATATAATATTGTTATGGTATATATTAATTTTAATTCAAGTATCATGGAAGAGATAACATAGAATATTATATATTTTAATGAATGAGTGTTTTCGAAGGGATTTTTCAGATCTGATATACCGAGTTCTTTAATTTCTCCGGAAGTTTTCAACTAAATTCTGATTGTTTTTAAGGTTTGGAAAATTTCTGGATAGGAGTTCTTATCAAAGTGATGTACCTTGGTGAACAATAAGTAATAGCATTTATTATTTGTTTCTATCTTTTTAAAGAAGAAGAGTTCTTTCTCGGACTCCTGTATGTCAGCGATAATTTCAGGGTCAGTTAATATTTTTTGAATGTACAGGTTAGATTCATCTAAATCGATAGATGTTGGGACCAGGATTATCTTCGCGGGACATTTCGTGAGAGTTTCTTTGTGCTCTTTTACTTGTGTTAAACGATAGGTACGTCTTGGGATGAACTCGTGGATGGAAATGGGAAATTATCGGTTTGAATTTCAGGTAGTGTTAGCTGTTCAGGTTCCGATTGAGGTAAGTTAATAGGTTCATTTTCGATTTCTCCCCTTAGAGTGTCTGGAATGTTGGAAGGTAAGTCAACGTAGGGTAGTGGCGAAGCTTCTTCAGCTAAATCCAGTGAAGGAGATATTGCTTCGTCCTGATTAAAGGAAGGTGGGGAAATGTGTAAGTCCATAAGATCTTTGTCTAGTTTTTGGCCCGAGTCCGCTATAGGAGGACTGGACATTGGTGGATCTATAGGTTGGACAGGGTTCACAGGAAACCGTGACAACGCGTCAGCATTTGTGTTACTTTTGCCCTTTTTATAATGTATATCATACTCAAATTCTTCCAATTTAAGTCGCCATCGGACTAGGCGGGAACCAGGGTCTTTACAATTAAAATGCCACTGGAGAGGCTTATGGTCCATTAATATTGTGAATCGGTTGCCATATAGATAAGGACGAAATGTTTTGGTGCCGAACACTATAGCGAGGCACTTTTTATGGTTACACTGTAATTATTCTCTGCTTTATTAAGTGTGCGCGAGGCAAAGGCAATAGGTCGATCTTGTCCTACTGGACCTTGGGAGAGAATAGCGGAGATGGCATAGTTTAATGCATCGCATGTTAAAAGGAAAGGTTTTGTAAAGTCGGGATATGCAAGGACTGGAGGTGTAACGAGTTTACCTTTTAACGTCTCGAATGAAAGCTGTTGTTCATTCTTCCATTCAAAAGGGACATCCTTTTTTAAAAGGGACGTAAGGGATATGGCATATTTAGAAAAATCGGGGATAAAGCGTCTGTAGTAGGATACTAAGCCTAGGAAGGATTTAATGTCTTTGGATGATTTTGGAACTGGAAATTCGGTGACAGCCCTCACCTTTTCGGGATTGGGTTTGACACCATGTTCACCGATTATATGGCCTAGATAAATCTCTTTTTTACGAAGGAATTCGCATCAGTAAATAATGATGTCTTCTAAATATAGCAAACATCGTGAACCTTGGAGTTCTGATAGGCATGCATTCATTAGCTTCTGAAAGGTGGACGGAGCGGTTTTTAGGCCATAAGGCATCCTATTGAATTGAAAATGTCCCTGAGGTACGGAAAATGCTGTTTTAGGAGCATCTTCAGGTTTGATTAGCAATTGGTGAAACCCGGAAGCTAAGTCCAAGGTCGAGAAATATTTGCTGTTACCTAGCTGGTCTAGGATTTCATAAATTTGTGGAATAGGATAGGTTTCGCCAATAGTGATATCATTTAGTTTGCGATAATCAATTACTATTCGCCATTTACGTTGTCCCTGGGAGTCTAAATTCTTAGGCACAATCCAAATTGGTGAGCTCCAAGGTGAGGATAAGGGTTCTATTATACCCTGGTCGAGCATCTTGTTGATTTGGGTCTGGACTTCCTTTTTATGACATTACGGGAACCTATACGTTTTAGTATGGATGGGCGTCCCGCTATTCGTTTTGATTTGGTGATTAAGAGCGGATGTATAAGTTAGTTGATCATCGGGCAGATGAAAAATGTTGGAATACCGGGAACAAAGTTCGATGAGGGCGTTGGACTCCTCTTGGTTTAGATGTTCTATTCTTAATAAGTTTATGACATCGTTTGTTCTTTTAGCCGTGTTACAGATGTTCTTGTTCACCTGAACGGCGGCAGAATGTAGAGGTGTAATTTTAAGATTTAAATTTGGATTTAGGTTGACCGGAAACTCTGAAGTATTAGCTACAGTTAAATTAACGCGTTTATTTTCTTTGACTATTACAATGCAGTTGGATATAAGTAAATTAGCTGATATGTGTTGATCAGTGATAAGACCTTCTTTAAGATTAGTATCGCAAACCGAACATTCAACGACAGTTCCGGTGCGTGGTGGAATGATATAGAATGGATCAACAAAGTGTAATTTTGTTTCTAATTTACCGATCTTGAGGGTATCGTTTGTGTAATCAATTTTACAGCCAAACGCGGTTAGGAAGTCGGAACCTATTATACCGTCATATGGCAAGTTGACATTTTTAATGACATGGAATTTATATGACGCGGATGTATTTTTATTTAATCTTAATTTCAATTAAAAATGGCCCTTAGTGGTTGTAGATTCATCGCCCGGGTCTATGCCCTTAAGGTTGATAGGTTGTTTTATGAGTTTGGGATTTTTCTGAATACTAGACTGTTTTAGTAAACATACGGCAGATCTTGAGTCGATAAGCAAAGACAGTGAGATATCCGTGACGGATGAATCGAGCAGGACATATGGTAACAACCTTTTGGTAGTATCTAGATTAATCTCGTAAATTTCGATTTTGCCTTTTGGAGAGGGAACTTTCAAGTTATGGATCTTGGATGACTGCACGCTTGCTTGGAGCTGGTTACCCATGTGGTTCTTGGATTGTTGTACGCTGGCTTGGGACTGGTTACCCGTGTGGTCCTTGGATTGTCGGACACTTACTTGGGACTGGTTAGGTTACCCATGTGGTCCTTGGATTGTCGGACGCTTGCTTGGGGCTGGTTACCCATGTGGTCCTTGGATTGTCGGACACTTGCTTGGGGCTGGTTACCCGTGTGGTCCTTGGATTGTCGGACGCTTGCTTGGGGCTGGTTACCCGTGTGGTCCTTGGATTGTCGGACACTTGCTTGGGGCTGGTTACCTGTGTGGTCCTTGGATATGAGGAAGAAATGGTTGGTGTCGGCTTTAGGATTTAGTCTCGGGCGACACCGTGACGAGATTCTTGATCGTTTAAAGTTTGGTTATCGCTTTGTGAAAGGTAGAGCTCTTCTTGGTCTTCCTCATCATTAGGCTACTCTATGAAATTCATCCGTGGTTGTGGCCTATACTGGAATTGGGAGGGTGATTTGGTTGACAAATATTGATTCCTGAATCGATTGTTAGAATATTCTCGTTTTTACAGGCCATGATGGCGTGCCCCGCCGTCTTACAATATCGACAAAAAGCGTTAGTGGAGTTCTGTTGGTTAGAATTGAAGTACTGTGAAGATCTTTGAGAAGTAGATGGCTTAGAATTAAAAGTTTTTACGAAGTTTTGCCTAGGTTTGTGTTCGTATTTTGCTTCTGGCTGTGGTCGTTTGTACAGGCTTTGTTGAATACGTTTCTCCGAGATGGCTAAGTTTATGGCTTCATTAAGGGTCTTTGGAGACCTACATCTAATAATGTTCGAAATGCGGGGGTGTAACCTCATAAGGAAATGATGGAGGGCAAGGTCCTCTGTGGCTGCAACTCGACCTGGTAATTCTTTTACTTTAGTATTACACAGGGATATTTATGTTAATAGTTGTAAAAGACACGTTTCCATGTGGAGTGCGAATTGACTGACATTATTATGTGGAACTTGCTTGCTCTCTTGTAGTTTGGTGAGAATATGAGCATAGTATTTACGTTCACTAAATTGTGTTTTTAAGACATCTTTGAGCTGTTCCCAGTCCTTAAACTCTTTTATGGAGCAAGCAATTTCCGCTTTACCGTGGAGTTGGCTAATGATATATTTAAATAAAATTTGCTTTTGAGATTCTGAGGCTAATTCATAAGCATTATTACAATTAATAATAAAAGAATGAACGGTCTCTCTACTACCGTCATACGATTTAACGACTTTGAACAAGGTGTTTAAATCCATCTCGGTCATTGCAGTTGTTGCAATGCTGGCCTTAGTAACTCTTGAAGTGGCTGGGGTGGATTTTGGGGCGTCACTAACGCCCGGATCTGTGAATTCGACGTTTAAACTAGCTTCCTCCCCTTTAACCACTTTTGGCATTATAAAATATATCAATCAATGTAAGAACACACAATAATATAAAATGATTACAATAAGGAACACGCAATAATATAAAATGATTACAATAAGGAACACGCAATAATATAAAATAATCACAAATAATAAAAATATTAATAAACCTTAAAACATTTAAATTCAATTAAACAAAGAAACGGAAAGGTTGAGAAGCTCTGGTTTATAAAGTCTAGACAAACAATGACCAACGACTCACAGTACTAGCAATTCGTGGGCGACGGCTGCAAACACGATAAGCGGGAAAATTTCGATTGATAAGCGCGTCTTCGGTGGCGCTCTGGAACGGAACACAATAAATTTCTAGTTGTCGAAATCTCCGACGATATTTATTTTATGACAATGGAAGCTTTTCAGGTTAATTCTTCTGGGTGATTTTCTCTTCTGTATGTATGTATGTAGATGGAATAAGATGATTGCGTTTCAGCATGCAATCGCGGGTCTTCCTTGGTAAGTATGTTAACTCTTTTCCAGGAATAAATTGGGCCTCCGTAATAGGATGGACGTCCGGGCTGTAGCGATGAGTATAGCACTTGCACTATATTTAGGTTCACTAGGACGCGCCAGAACGA